CAATCGAAGATTGCTTCGACCACCTCCTCTCCCGAGACGTGGCTGGTGGTGATATCCAGGAGTTCCTTGGTGGTTCGTGGGCTCTTATGTCCCAGTTTGTGAACCAAGGACTCGCAGGTCATCCCGGATAGGAAAGCTCCTATCACGTCAGCGTCGGTGACGTTAGGGAGCTCATTGCATTGCCGCGAGAAGCGTCGGATGTACTCGCGGAGAGTTTCGTCGGCCTTCTGGCGGCAGTTCTTGAGGTCCCATGGGTTTCCGGGGCGTTTGTATGTGCCCTGGAAGTTGCCCACAAAGATTTCCCTTAAATCCGCCCAACTTTGAATGGCGTTGGACGGTAGGTGCTCCAACCATGCTCGTGCCGAATTGGCCAAGAATAGTGGGAGATTGCAAATAATAAAATCATCATCATTCGCGCCACCGGCTTGATAGGCAAGCCGATAGTCCTCGAGACAAAGCCCGGGGTTTGTTTCCCCAGAATATTTTGGAATGTTGGTAGGTGGTCGATACCTTGGTGGGAAAGTGGCGTTGGGGACGTGACGACCGAAGGCCTAGGGGCCCGGTAGGCCGGGGCTTGGGCTCCGGTCCTCGCTGCTGTTGTAGCGTCCACCGCGTCGAGGGTGGTAGCCGCGTCTGGCTCCTTCTCTCGAGTCATTGTAGGCGCGTCTGCGGGCGTCGATGGTGCTATGCGCGTCGCGGTTGTGACCGAGGCGTTCATGCACCGAGATAGCAGTGAGCCGCCTGCCGCCTGGTGGTGTCTGGTGGACTGACGTATCCTTGGCGGGATGCACCGGAGGCGTGCGCTGGCTGGTGTTGAGTTTGCGTCGCCGAGACATCGAGCTCTCCGCCTGCTGCGCCGCCGCACGTTCGAGCAACGTGCGGATTTCTCGGCGGGCCCAGCGATCCTCGGACGTCGCGGCCTCTGGAAGGCCGTGAAGTAAAGCCATCACGGCGGCGATGTTTTGGCTTGCCCGGCAAAGTGTGGGAGGGTCCCATCATCGGTGAGGATCCTCTGGTGTACATCGCGGGCAGTGGCGCGCGCGCGCCCGCCGCTTTGGCGGTGTTCGATCTCGCGGTTGATCTCTGTGTACTCGCGCACGAGCCCTTGTCCGGCCTCATCGATCTCTTGCTTCTAGGCTTTTAGCTGCTCCATCCTTAAGCGAGATGGGGCCGCTGTCTCCTCTTCGGGCCCATCGTCGGGGTTGCCCGCCGGGGTGGTTTCCTCCTCGGAGATGCTTTCGACATGCCCCTCGGGGGTTTCCGCCATGAAGCATCCCCGAGAAGGGTGATGGCTCCCCCTGCTGGAGTCAGAGCTGGAGGACGATCCGGGCCCCTCAGTGAGGAGCTTGTGGAGAGACTCCGTGTCATGTTCAATTACCCCCACGAACTCGTTGTCCACGGGTGGTTGAACCATGCGTAGCGCCATAAGGTGGCTAGCGGTTGCCGCGGCGTTGCAGAGACCAAACGGAAACGCTATTGGGGCGCTCCGCACGTGGCGTTCTGGAGAGAGGTGTCTCTCCCCGGAAGGTCGCGCCATGCTGTCGTTGTTGGCGAGGGCGAGGCGATGTTGGTTCTCCCAGGACTGCCGTGGTCCAAGGGAGGCACCGAGCTGGCGCCCAAGCCTCTCATGGTCAAGGCCGTTGGGGGGAAGAGATCGGATGGCGGTGTGCGCCCGTACCAACTCTCCTCCCACCGTGATGATGAAATCCAGGTTTCCGAAACGCACGTGTGCGCCTGGGACCCAGCTGATGTTGTGGTTAGCCATCCATGGCCGGGTTTGGAACGCGCAAAGGCCCCTACCTGGCGCGTGCCAACTGTCGGTGTTTCGAACAAACACCGGCTAGTAAATTTATACTTGATGCGCGTTAGGCATGGATGGTGCACTAATGGACACAAGGTTTATACTGGTTCGGGCCGAATGTCCCTACGTCCAGTCTGTTGCTGCTCGTGTTATTAGCACCGAATGAGGTTCGTAGTAGGGGGTACAAACGGTTGGGAGAGAGAGAGATCCCAAGTCCCTGATGGAGTAGTCGAAAGAACGCCAAGAGCTCTGTTGCTGTTAGGTTGTATGGTGCGTGTGCGCGTGCTCGCTCGTCCTCCTTTAGTGGGGAGCCCTGCCCTCCTTTTTATAGACAAGGGGGGGTGCAGGCGTTTACAGATGGGGGAAAAGAGAAAATACTAAGAACGCAGAAGGTCCTTTGAGAGACCCGAGTCTTCCTTCTTCTCCACGCCTGCCCTGCCTATCACGGCAGACTGTGTCAGAAGTAGCGTATCCGTCGATCTTCGTAGGCCATGCCCTGGCCTTTTTTAGCAAGTGGTGCGTCCCATCCCGCCCCTGCGGGCGGCGGGTCGGATAGAATTGTCGAGCCCCGACCCTGTGGGGGTTGGACGGCGTGATGACTGTTGGTTGGCCCTTGGGACGTCGTGGTTGTCGTATGTCCGTGTCGGGTCCTTCGTCCGGAGGCTGAGGGCGGCACCTATGATACTGTAGGGCGGAGAGCAGGCACCCGCAACACTGTTCAGGCTCTGCCATGCCTGGGGGAGGTCCCAGCGCTTGTCCTGTCACATCCTAACGGTACTTCCTTGTAGGGGTGCAGGGCACGGCGTCTGACGCTGTGGTGCAGGGCATGGCGTCTGACGCTGTGGTTGACCCGAATGTCTTGTCTTACCCTGTAGCCGTCATCATGAGGGTTCGCAGGACACGGTTTGTCAGGTGAGACGGAGTCAGCCTCCGAATATCGGGTGATGCGAGATCCGTCATCGGTCGTTTGATGAGGTAAAGGCGGCCCTCGGTTGTTTGGGCGAGGCCGAGCCCAGCCTTCGGGGGTCGAGCGAAGCGGAGTCTATCCCTTGGGGGTCGGGTGAGTCGTCCTCCAGCCGTCGGGCGAGGCGGAGTCGTCCTCCAGCCGTCGGGCAAGGTGGAGCAGGTCCACGGGAGTTCGGGCGAGGCGGAACAAAACTCCCGTCGTTCGGGCAAGAAGTGCAGCCGTGCTCTTGTCCGTCGGGAGCTTTTAACGTTCGATGGTTATTAGTTCCACCTCTTTGGGTATCCGGTATTAGGTCCCCGACATATGTATTCTTAAAGAATAAATAGTGTTCAATGCAACTGTAATTGCTCCCACAAATAACATTTAGTTGATATATATAAACAACACCATTATAAGGTAACACTAAAAATAACAGCATGGAATTATTAATAGCCACGAAAGAGTTTTTGATGAATATTACTTTTCTATCTCCAATCGATGATGGTGTTGGAGCTAATCATGTGCATCAGTGCAGCGTTTCCATGTACAACGTAGACAAAGTTGAGCTGAAAATAAATGTTTTAAAAATAAAATACACTTTAATAGTTTATAAATGAAATTAAGCCTAAAATGCATAGTTTGATGACTAAAACGATCATTTTCGTAGTTCTAGGATGAAATTGAGTCTAAAAGTAGAGTTTAAGGAGTAAAACAACCATTTTAAAAGTTTAGGATAAAGCTGAGTCTCGAGTGATAGTTGAGGAATTAAAATGACTATTCTGCCCTCCGTGAACAACAGACCAAGTCACAGTAGTCATGGGCCATCGTTTTTCCGTGGATTATACTAGCACATCTTTTCCTCGATCGACCTTGGCTTATTGGGTCCCATCCTTGTTGCATACCTAACCCAACTGCCCAGAATCACTGACGTCTTCTTCCCTCGGAAGGCCGCCGGCTCTCAAACAAAAGTCTTAACATATCATAGTCCCTCACCTAACAGTGCTTTGCTCAGCATGACCAATCCGTTAGCTTCTTTCACATCACATCTTTTAATTACAAATACTGGATAGTAGTAGTATTTAGCCCGTTCGTTTCAACTTATACGATCGTGGATTATAAGCTACAACAATATTTTTTTCTCATACACTAAACCAGCCAACAGTACTTCTGGCTTATAATCCACGATCGTTTCAGCCAAAACGAACAGACTGATTGTTTTGCATGCGCTTGTTCATTAGTCAGTTTCAGTTAGGCTTCTAGAAGGAAAACTTTTATTTGAAGAATACCGACACAGACATGTGGAACCCAAGTTTTTTTTATTTAATTTTGGATTTTTGATAAAAGATCACTCCGGCAGAAAAGTTGGTCATTTTCAGAGATAGATGGACCACTACCGGAAACAGTGACTTTATTGTGTGTCACATACACAAGGCAAAGACAAAAAACACTCGGCAAAGGCTTTGCCGAGTATAACACTCGGCAAACAGCACACGACATCCACAGTGCCGGCAAACGTCTCTTTGCCGAGTGTTTTCTATCGGCCACTCGGCAAATACTTTGCCGAGAGCTGAAACAAAAAAAAACGTATTGGTAAGAGGGTCATGTTGTGTTCCAGAGTGACATTGGCAAACTCCTTAACCGGCGGATGTCCACGTGGCGGTTTTTTGCCGAGTGTTTTTTCCTAGTTTGCCGAATGTTCTTTTTTCAGCACTCGGCAAAGATATCGGTATGCCGAGTGCCATTATTTTGCCGAGTGTGGTTTCTGAAGCACTCGGCAAACAACTTTTTTACCGAGTGCCCGATGAAATGCATTCGACAAATCTTTTGGCATTCGGCAAATCTGTTGTTTCCGGTAGTGGACCAATTGGCACCATAATAGTACATACCTTAACGTATTAGACACCATATATGATTATATATCAATAAGCAACATATATAAATACTGTAATAAGAATGATTATGTCACAGCAAATAAAATCATCATATTATACAAAAATATGTCCATATACATAGATGGAGAAGAGAAATAATAAGACACCCTGAATGAAGAAGATACACAAGCGAAGGCAAACAACAATAAAGAAAGCATCATGCATCAATGATACGTACAGTAGTACATCACGAAATTAAACCAGCAAATAATAACCAGTGTAGCTAGCTCTCTACCGTAGAATGAAAACGCGAGCTCATCAAGAAGAAGAATAATCCTGCACTGCCTCTACCCTCGCAAGATCAGGATGGTACGGTGCATGATCAGAAGAGGGCGAGCTTGACGAGCACGGCGGCGGCCACGGCGAGCGCGGGGCCGGCCGTGAGGCGCACGGACGCGCTGCCCGGGGTGCCAGTGCCAGTGCCAGGGGCGGGGGCGCTGGGGGTGGTGGGTGTGCTGGGGCTGGGCGAGCCGCCGGTGCCGGGGGTGGGGGGCGTCGAGGGGGAGGAGCCGGAGCCGACGGTGACAGCGAGCTTCATGCCGGCGCCGCAGTGGCCGGTGAAGCCGCAGATGTAGTAGTGGGTGCCGGAGGTGAGGGTGACGGTGGCCGGGCCGTTCTGGATGGTGCTGGCGGCGTTGCTGGTGGAGCAGCCGTCGTATCCGCTCTTGTCCACCACCACCACGTCGTGGGCACCGGTGGCGAAGTTGAACACTGCATCCACGCATGCATGCAATTTCATTCATCCATCATAACTAAAGTAACAAAAGAAAATTAAAAGATGCATGCATGGTGGTGATCGAGGACAGGACAGACAGAGGAGAGGACCGACGCACGCACCTAGGTTGTCTCCAGCCGCGAAGGTCTTGCCACTGGCCCAGGTGGTGTAGTTGACGCTGCCAAGAGTCCACCCGCTACTTTCGCCGACGATGAACGTGACCGCCGAGGCCGTCGCGACGGAGCTCACAACGACGAGCAGCGCGATCAGAGCGGAACGGGACGCCATGGCTAAGGTTACGTTGGAGCGGCCAAGGATCGGAGCTGCTGCTGCTTGCTTGTGGACGAAACGTACGATCGAGCTAGTAGGCAGCACAGGAAGTAGCTTTATCGATGTCGATCGTGGATGAGATGAGATGATGACTGGCCGGGTTGCACGATGCCTGCCTTTTATAGAGCAATCAAGCATTAAGCCAGGGAAGAAACGCGCGGCGGCGGGTGCAGAGGAGAAGGGAGAGGGAGTCGTTGGTCCACGCTTGGCCGCTCCTTCCTTTGAATTGGGTTCAATTCAACTTTTCCTTGTGTTCTCTTCTGCACCTCACCTGCACCGCCGCACCACCAATATAATAAATCGCCGCATGCAGCCCGCAGGTGTTTCGTGTGTGTGAAAATATAATACTTGGCGTTGAATATGTATGCACCACCACACTCGTTCAAACATTTATTTCTTGTCGATCCATTGATCCTCTTCATGTTATTATTAGTATTTTATTTCCATGCAAAATAATTAAGAATGTAAGATAACCTCATGCATGCTCCATATCCCTCCCTTGAAATTGGGCATTGGAATTAGAATTGTATATGCTGCTGGTTCGCCGGAGCTATCTGGCAACTACCAACTGAAAAAAAAGTGGTTTAATTTTCTGCGCAGGAATATGTCGCTATCTCCTTCTCCACTTCTTCTTCCTCTCTTCTTCCTTTCCCCGAATGCGAATGGTTCCATCATGTATGGTAGGTGTGGGTCGTCGTCAATGATCGTTATCATCGGTCATCGCTTTGCATGCATTTCCGGCCATACATGAAGATCGATTCAACTAATTTGTTTACAGAGTCGTCACTAGCTCCCTCTCTTTTGTAATTTTCTTTCTTTATTTCACTCATTCATGGTCCAATGCTTCTAGACGGTTACAAGTATTAGCTAGGCCTTTCTTTGTGCATTTTGTCATTGGACACGCAGCACCAGATTAATTGAACGGAAGACGCGTCGATTAAATAAAGAAAGAGAGATTGAGAAGCACTAGATGATGGAGTGGTTAGGAGAAGCGATGCCAAAGCTTCAAGGCACGATTTATTTGTATAGCCGCCACAGTAGTGGTACAGCATCTACCTCTTCTCACCACAAGAAGCAGCAGTGCGGGCTGATCGATGCACCATTATATTTGCCAAAAGGCTACTGATGTTATAATCAGGCAATTTTGTTCACAAACACCATTCAATCGCGTGTAATTTGTCGATGCACACCGTCATCTTTGAAATTTGCTCAGTACCGTTTTGGCTCTAGACACCGCACGCAATAAAATAACCGTTTATCCAACATTATGGGAGAGAAGGGGTGTGAAAGGTCTCTTTTGCCCTCCACTCTATCTATCTACTTCAACTCCACGTCATCCCTTTCCCGTGGTAAGCAGCCGCTGAACACCTCGGTATAGTCCAATGGTGGGCCCCTGAATGTCACCGAAAAGCGCGGCGACCTACCAAACTCATCCACATCCACCATCCATGCCCCCCTCCCTCCCCAACCATCAACACCTGCTGCTCTTACTATTACCGTTGACTTCCGGTGGTGCCTCCTCTACTTTGGTGTTGCGTCCATGGCCACCCACCGCCACTCCAATTCTCTCACCACTAACACCTGCTGCTCTCGCCATTGTTGTTGCCTTCCGGTGGTGCTTCATCTCCCTTCACTCGACTCCACGTCCATGGTCGCTCGTCACCGCTCCCACTGCCACGATGGTGCCTCCTCTTCCTCCATGTCGCATCTATGGCTGCCCGCCGCTGTCACGAAGCACAAGCTGTCCTTCTTCCCCTTCGGAGCCTGCGGCGGCGGAGGGACATGGGTGGGGCTAGCGGCATGCAGTGTGGAGCCAGGACCGCGTCTGGGAATCAACACGTAGGGGGTAAGGCAACCACTGCTTAAGCCGCCGAGGATGATAACGTGGTAGTGAGGGGTGGATGGGGAGAAGGTTGTGACACCTACGCTAGTGGCGCCGACGAGGATGAAGAAACAAATAAGGCCTATGTGTCAAGCTGGGGGACTGAGAAGGGTGGAGTCGGGAGGAGAAAGACGATCGCTATGGCAATATGGTCTATTCACTGCCCTTCTCTCCCTAGATCGTGGAAATGAATATTTTAATGACTGCAGTATTGAACAATAAAGAAACACGATTTCATTATAGTATTATGCAAATTTTAAAATTGATGATGTACATCGGCAGTTACACAATTAAACGGTATCCATTTGCCTTACAATTACAATCGAGGCAAATAAAAGCTTCCCGGCCGGCCGGAGCTCCAAGAAGAATAAACCATTGATTTGACGTCGAGGGATAACGTAGCGTGATCGTGTTACAAACTAATCGCTGTGTTTATATCTTCCAAATGGCGTGATGCATTGATGTGGTGCAAAATAAAGGAACAAAGCACATGCATGCTTGCATTCCATTGCATTGACCTAATCATATGCTATCCATTGCCTAGTACCCATCGGACATGTGTAAGGCCTTGTTTAGTTGGTCGAATTTGGCGCTGCCGGATTCACTGTGACGTCCACTGTAGCGCATTATAATATTTCGTTTATATTTGGTAATAATTGTCCAATCGTTGACTAATTAGACTCAAAACGTTCGTCTCGCAAAGTACAACCTAACTGTGCAATTAGTTTTTTGATTTCGTCTACATTTAGTACTCCATACATATACCACAAATTTAATGTGACAAGGAATCTTCTTTTTTTATAGTACCAAAGTTAAGAGTTGGGAGCAACTAAACAAGACCTAAAAGACACTTCATTAATTTTTCACCTAATGCATTGACCGAAAGCAGGAAGACGCCGCCGTCTTGTCTTGGCTACATCATAGGCGGTGGGTGTGCAGATAACCGTGCACAGCCATTTGCTGCGTGCTGAGTTGGAGTAGGTTAGGTTTCATGAGTATGCTCAAATAACACGAGCTGAATTATTTCAGGATCATGTAATAATTGAATATATATAGAAGAATATTTCTCAATTGCGTACGGTTGCAGATAATTAAGTTTCCTGTATTGGAATTTATGTGACGTGCTGAGTTAACCAATTAAGCCCTTATTTCAATTAGCCGTCGTTGAAGCTTGGCATTGGAGCAACGTTGCTAGTCGATCTGTGAAGCTGGAGCAAGCAAGCTATCAGACAATATCTTTATTTTCAACGATGCAGAAATATGACTGACAATTCAGAGTTTCAGACGACTCTCCATTCATACATACTTAGCCCTGGTTTACATTCCAAGTTTTTTCACTCTCTCTCCATCACATCAAATATTTGAACATATGCATGGAGTATTAAATGTAGATAAAAAAATAACTAATTACACAGTTTGATTGTAAATTACGAGACGAATCTTTTGAACCTAGTTAGGCCATAATTGGACAATAATTGTCAAATACAAACGAAAGTGCTACAGTGTCAAATACTGATTCCCAACTATCATCTAAACAAGGCCTTACATAGAGAATCCGTGCCGTCCATTAGGTACGGCTCTGATTATGTAGTGCATGTGTCACACATGACATCCTGTGATCGATCCACAGCCTGTTAAACTGATCGATCGTAAATTTCATAAATAATCCACGATACGATATGGCCTCCCGAACAAGCTGCCAGAGTGATCCATGCGCCCCATGCATAGGGCACAGTGTTCTTCGCTCCGATTTCGAAATTGCTGTCCAGTCAATACATAGTTTTGTAAATGGTATCTGCCAAATAATATATGATACTTTGCACAAATATTTGAAACCAGGAGACGAGTATATAAGTAACATGGCAAGTAAAGACTGCCTAATGGTAGCTGCCTAATGATACTTTGCACAAATATTTGAAACCATCGTTGCCATTTAACACGACAATTTTTCACAAAATGACCTCTTTTATTGCACTGCACTAATAAAATGTACTACCTTTACACTGGGGTTCAGGTCAACAGTTATCTCTAAAAAAAAATACCCTATTTTTAGATGTGGCCACATAAAGTCAGCTGCCCTTAAATTCAGAGGTGGTCGACTTAAGCAATTGACTTTGAAATTAGGGCAATTTATAGGTGTGCAAATGAGTTCCCCTTTTGGAAAATTGTTCTCACCAAGGTCAATGGGAAAATGTTATCCTATTGGTATTAGCAATAACAGTCTAGTGTAATGGTAAGGAAGGGTTTGAATCCTCGAAATACTAGAAAGGTCACACAAGGAGGAGGTTGTGGGTTTCAATCCTAGAAATACACGTGTATATATTTTTGCGTGAAAAATGTCATGATTTGTGACGGCTCAAACGACCGCGTGAAGAAAACATATTTGGGTAAGAACCGCCTTTGGAAATTGAAGATTAGAAATGCTCGCTACAAGACGTTTGGACGGACGGACGGCCCGCCCCGCCCACACTGCCCGCCGCACGCCCTAGCCCGCGCCGCCCACCACGCGCTCCCCGCCTGGAGTCACTCCTCCTGCCGCGGCTGCATTCCATCCGCCGGCGAGAAGCCGGCACCGACCTCTGCGCCGCTGCGAGCTACATGCGCCACCACCGACGTCCATGCCGCCTCGAGCGCCACCCAGAGTCATGCCTCCTACCACGGCTGCGCTCCATCTGCTAGCGAGAAGCCCGCGCCGGACCTCCGTGCCACCGCGAGCTCCATGCGCCGCCGCGAGCTCCATGCGTTGCCAACGACCTCCACGCCGGCGTTGAGCTCCACAACGATGAGCCTCCGTTTGTCCAGGCAGCAAGGTTACATTGCGCTGAAAGCGCATGTTGTAAGCATATGTTTCAAGTGTTTCACATGTTTCAGAGGTATGTTGCAAGTGTTTTATATCGATGTTGCAAAAGTAGATCGGGATGTTGCACATGTTGCAATGGCTATACACGTATCTTTCAAGTGTATGTTCTAAATATTTCATCTGCTTCAGGCGTATGTTGCAAGTGTTTCATCTGGATATTGCAAAAGTAGATCTGGATGCTGCATATATATGCAAGTGTGTCAAGTGTTTTCTTAC